TATAGCAATACATGTACAAATGAATTACATTCATACCAATGCATGTACAAATGAATTACATCTATACCAATGCGTGTACAAATGAATTACATCTATACCAATGCGTGTACAAATGAATTACATCTATACCAATGCGTGTACAAATGAATTACATCCATAGCAATACATGTACAAATGAATTACATCTATACCAATGCATGTACAAATGAATTACATCCATAGCAATACATGTACAAATGAATTACATCCATAGCAATACATGTACAAATGAATTACATCCATAGCAATGCGTGTACAAATGAATTACATCCATAGCAATACATGTACAAATGAATTACATCTATACCAATGCATGTACAAATGAATTAAATCCATGCCGATGCATGTACAATTGAATTACATCCATAGCAATGCGTGTACAAATGAATTACATCCATAGCAATACATGTACAAATGAATTACATCTATACCAATGCATGTACAAATGAATTACATCCATAGCAATACATGTACAAATGAATTACATTCATACCAATGCATGTACAAATGAATTACATCCATAGCAATGCGTGTACAAATGAATTACATTCATAGCAATGCGTGTACAAATGAATTACATCTATACCAATGCGTGTACAAATGAATTAAATCCATGCCAATGCATGTACAATTGAATTACATCCATAGCAATGCGTGTACAAATGAATTACATCCATAGCAATGCGTGTACAAATGAATTACATCTATACCAATGCATGTACAAATGAATTAAATCCATGCCAATGCATGTACAATTGAATTACATCCATAGCAATGCGTGTACAAATGAATTACATCCATAGCAATACATGTACAAATGAATTACATCTATACCAATGCATGTACAAATGAATTACATCCATACCAATGCGTGTACAAATGAATTACATCCATAGCAATACATGTTCAAATGAATTACATCCATAGCAATACATGTACAAATGAATTACATCCATAGCAATACATGTACAAATGAATTACATTCATACCAATACATGTACAAATGAATTACATCTATACCAATGCATGTACAAATGAATTACATCCATAGCAATACATGTACAAATGAATTACATTCATACCAATGCATGTACAAATAAATTACATCTATACCAATGCATGTACAAATGAATTATATCCATACCAATGCGTGTACAAATTATATACAAGTGCAAAATTAATGCCACACGTATTCTTTCAGATGTTGGGTTATGGCGCAACACAACCAGTTAATGCCTCCTGATTTTATTGAAGACTTTCGTCTCAGAGAAATGAGACTCCTGGTGAGACTCTGAATGCGAATGTGACTTCGAAGTATGGGACCTATGGGATTGATTCTTCCTTAATTTTGAACTGTGCTTTGAGGCATGGTGGCGTGACGATGATAAACGTCCGATTGATGAAGGGGGCGTCCCATTAATGGACGTTGCTGACCTCCCTGACGATATGGTCACGTTTGAGAATCCCTGGAACATCGTAAAATTATCGATAGTTCTTGAAAATCTGTGTGGTTCTTTCAGGTCCAGTCCTCTTGACCGAGTCTTCTCGAATGTCTTATTTGGTTTTTTCAAGAAAGAGGCCTCATATTTCCCAGAATTTATACCCTGAAATATGAAAGCCAACATTAATGAACAATGTAGTGGAAAAGAAGCAACTATCGGTGTGTGGGAAATGAACAACTAAATAATTAAGTATAGACGCTCAATAAATACCTAATATGAATATACCTACATAGCGAGACACGTTACATACTAACTGCCTACTTTGTTCACTGACATATAATTTGCTCTGTAAAATAGTTCTCAGGTTAAAAGGATTTCAGCAAATCATTATCTCATATGACATAGATAAATCATTACGGGAATTTAAATCATAATGCTAAGCAACAAGGAACCTCCTACACCCCAAAATTCTCAATATATGACGTTTCCACAATTTTGTTATTAACTTTATTTGCTAATAATATGAAATTATATTGATATGACAGTAGGGGTCTTTTCAATAAATAGTTCAATAAACAAAGATGTATAATAACATTTTGTAACTAGAATATATCGCTCTACATATCAAAACGGCGCATTTGCCATCAAGTTAATATTACTTTGTATGAACAATGTTATACAAGTTTCTATGATTGTGCAATCATTACGATTTATCTAATACTATATCTTCTGAATAAATCACCTCTCTCTGATTTGTGACCACATCAATTAGCTGAAACCGTTACATACTGAATTATGTTCTGTATAAATACTCACTGCGTACGTGATTAAGAGTTGAATACTGTCTAATGACGTTTAGTACTTTTAATTATATCATCAAGGTTATTTTATGACATCTTCTGTATTATAGTTTCATTTTGGTTAGATTGAATTATGTATTTAACTTGAAATGTGTTTTTTTAATTGCAAATAGGAACAATCGGCATGCATACTTTCGATATTCAAGGGCAAGTGAGTTTCAAATGCCAGCGAGTACAACATTCAATGAAGAAAGAAAAAAAAAGAATATGGGCGATAGCTCTATACTAGTTTTTAAACCCCTAATAAAAGAGAACAAAAACAATGGGATTATAAGTAAAAAGTGGATTCCTTTAATTAATATTTATTTGGAGCTCAAAAGCCAAAGAATGTGAAAAGTGCATCGCTTACCGTCACTGTAACCTGTGGATCTAATATCAAGAAATTCTGTGAAGCCACCATATATTTTTCATATTCCCTACTACCATTACATGAAATATCATCTAACCACATTTTCACCTTGCCGTGATCAGGCAGACAGAAACATTCAAAACCATTGTTCTTCATCATTCTGTATAGGACTCGTAACTATTTACAAATAAATAAATAACAAACAAACAAACAAATAAATAAATAAATAAATTTTAAATAAATAAATAAATAAATAAATAAATAAATAAATAAGTAAATAAATAAATAAATAAATATCAACAACAACAAAACGCACGTTTTTAGGTGGTCTGCTAACGATCCCTGACGATGTAACTATGTCCATGGTGACTAAGCTGTCTGTTTCAATCCTTCCCCAGCATCCGACATGAACATCGCCAGACAAAACAGTCACTTTGACCTTCTTTCGAAGAGAAAAATCCAAGAGTAATTTGATAAGCCTCTTCCTTTCAAAGTCGTGATAAAAAGATGCCCACTGCTCTGTTAACTCTTCATCTAACTCCTCAGGCTGCGGAATCACAAGTCATATACCATTATTCAACATTGTTCCAGTAGAGAAAGATTGGTGTGGGTACGGTGGCCCATATATACAATCGGCGAAGAATGACCAAATTTCGGCGATCAATAACCAAATTGCGGCAATCAATGTCGCATTGCGATGATTAATAACCAAATTGCGGCGATCAATGACGCACGGCGGCGATCAATGACGCATTGCGACGATCAATAACGCATTGCGACGATCAATGACCAAATTGCGGCGATCAATGACGCATTGCGACGATCAATAACCAATTTCAGCGATCAATAACGCATTGCGACGTATTTGATTTCATCAAACTTATTTCTGTTCAAAGAATTCCTATTTAATTATTCCGATGCCATTTTGTTGTGTACAATTTATATTCCATTCAGTACACAAATTTATATGTTTCAAAAAAAGTTGTCATTTTGTGTCATTCATTTTACTTCTAAAATAATTAAATAGGAATTC